AAGGTGTGGCCGCTTATTTGTGCCCGCCAGTAGGTAAATTACTACACCTTCTACCTTCATTCATCAGAAGGCACCGTGCTGTGCAGCACAAGGGTCTCAGCCTTTGGGCTGGGTGTATGTAAATTTATTGTATGTTTTGCAGCATTTGTGGTTGTGTTTTATTTGCCATATCTAAGTACCTGCATGTCACCACTTTTCAAAAGAAAGACTTCACTTCTGCTTGAACAAGCAGTAATGGAACATTTAATGTGAAGTTATTTCTTCTTAAAGTGGTTGCATAGGCTGAAGGTTTCTACCTTAATGTATTCTCTGCATTAAGGTAAAAAAACCTTCAATGCTCAGCTCCTCCTCCAACCCCCATTTACTAACCTGAGCCCGATCTCGATCCAACGATGTGCACTAGAGCAGTGGCTCTCTCTCTCTCCTCACTGGTTCAGAGACAGCACTGGGAGCTATTGGCTCTGGCTGCTGTCAATCAAAAGCCTGAGAGGAGGGAACAGGGGGTGAGGACACGCAGAGCCAACTTGGGAGCAGCTTGCTTTGGAAGCACTCAGCAGGGGGGGTGGGGGGGGGAGTTTAGCCAGGAGTGCCAGTAAGGGACCTGAGAAGAGGAGATTCAGGGCTGCTCTGTGCAAACCCACTGCACAGAGCAGTAAGTATGACATGTTTGTTATTGAAAAAAATAAGGTTTACAATCACTTTAAAGACCTTCAAAGATGATAACAAAGACTACAGTTGGGGTTTCATTCAGTTTCTAACAGCTTAAGGCCATGTGCACATGAATGTTTACAGTGCATCCAGAAAGCATTCACAGCGTTTAACTTTTGTCACATTTTGTTATGTTACAGCCTTATTCCAAAATGGATTAAATTCATTTTTTTTTCTCAACATTCTACAAACAATTCCCCATAATGACAACATGAAAGAAGTTAATTTGAAATCTTTGCAATTTATTAAAAATAAAAAATGAAAAAACCCACATGTACATAAGTATTCACAGTCTTTGCCATCACACTCAAAACTTAGCTCTGGTGCATCCTGTTCCCATTGATCATCCTTGAGATGTTTCCACAACTTGATTGGAGTCCTACATGCGGGAAATTCAGTTGATTGGACATGATTAGGAAAGGCATAAACCTTTAGAAGGTCCCACAATGAGCACAGTGGCCTCCATGATGCATCAAGGCACCGTATGCAGCATTGAAGAAGCACAGTGGCCTCCATCATCCGTAATGGAAGACGTTTGGAACCACCAGAAATCTTCCTAGAGTGGGCCGCCCTGGCCAAAATGAGCGATCGAGGGAAAAGGGCCTTTGCCAGGGAGGCAACCAAGCACCCGATGGTCACTCTGAAAGAGCTCCAGCGTTTCTTTGTGAAGAGAGGAGAACCTTCCAGAAGAACAACCATCTCTGCAGCACTCCACCAATCAGGCCTGTATGGTAGAGTGGCCAGACAGAAGCCACTCCTCAGTAAAAGGCAAATGGCAGCCCACCTGGAGTTTGTCAAAAGGCATCTGAGGGACTCTCAGACAATGAGAAACAAAACTCTCTGGTCTGATGACACAAAGATTGAACTCTTTGGCCTGAATGCCAAGCATCATGTCTGAAGGAAACCAGGCACCGCTCATCACCTGGCCAATATCATCCCTACAGTGAAGCATGGTGGTGGCAGCATCATGTTATGGGTATGTTTTTCAGCGGCAGGAACTGGGAGACTAGTCAGGATTGAAGGAAAGATGAATGCAGCAATGTACAGAGACATCCTTGATTAAAACCTGTTCCAGAGAGCTCAGGACCTTAGACTGGGGTGATGGTTCATCTTTCACCAGGACAACGACCCTAAGCACACAGCCCACATAACAAAGGAGTGGATACAGGCTGACTTTGTGAATGTCCTGGAGTGGCCCAACCAGAGCCCAAACTTGAATCCGATTGAACATCTCTGGAGAGATCTGAAAATGGCTGTCACCACCGCCGCTCCCCATCCAACCTGCAAAGAAGAATGGGAGAAATTGCCCAAAAATAGGTGTGCCAAGCTTGTAGCATCATACTCAAAACTACTTGAGGCTTTAATTGGTGCTAAAGGGGCTTCAACAAAGTATTAAAAGAAATTTAGTCTATTTTGGAATAAGGCTGTAACATAACAAAAAAACATGTGGCAAAAGTTAAGCGCTGTGAATACTTTCTGGATGCACTGTATTAGCGGAACCCCCTCAAGCATACAATCCCTGGCTCTTTCCCATGCCAGGGATGCCGAGTACAACCATTTACTTGTATGCTACTTTTCTGTTCAAGGATGTACGCCATACAGCATGAGAGGGTAAATGCCAATGCAGAAGTGAATTGGGTTTACACACTGTAAGTATGGCCATGTACAGCCAGTCATTTGTATTGGTGGCTGTACGAGACACATATGGTGGTCCAAAAATGGGAAAGCTCTGGGTATTTGACACTTGACGAGTTTTGTGTGCATGAGGCCTTAACACACCTTGCTGTGTGTTTACACTGGAGGGTTTGTAGAGTACCAAGATTTTGGTTTAATAGAAAGTTAAAGGCAAAAAACTATGCCTGCCCTTTCCGCCCACCTCTTTGATTCATAGAAGCTGTACTATAGCTTTCATGAATGGAAAGTGATCTATGATTGGTGGATGGCTGGATGAATGAAAGGTCCATCTCCTTCATTTATAGATCACATTTTATTGATGGAAGCTGTAGTACAGTGTCTATGAATGGAAGAGGGGGATGGAAAGGGCTGGCATAGCCTGCACTCTTGATGCGTGTCTGTCACAGGTCCAGTGATATTGAGCCCCACAGCATATGGAAGAGGGGGGCAGAGGACTTTGAATGTCCACTATGACACCAGCACAAGGGACTCTTTGCATTAAATATATGTAACCAACCCTTTTCCTGATTAAAAAAAATGTCTAAATATAGGGAATGCCTTTAAAGAGCTTTACCTGCTTATTCAGAATATGTGGATTCTTATTGTGCATAATCTGGACACAGATACTCTTTGATATAGTAATGCCTCTAGTCTGTGCTAATGTACACATTTTTTTGCTAACCATGATTGCTAGAGAGGAGTGAATTGATTTTCAGATGGTTTTGATACTTTCAAGAAGAACCTCAGTTCTCTTATTACTATTCCTGAATGTGTGACTGTTATTTTCATTGAGCTTCAGAGAATTGATTCACACTTTTCTACTGATTACTTTTGCTTAGATCATCAACCAAAATAGGGGCTGGCAAAGGATCAAGTGCTCAGAGTTGTCTATGACCAGAAACTCATGAGATAAATCTAAGAAACATTCTCGAGCATTGCTTGTGTTTGAAACACGTCCAACAAACGCCAGCAGATTCCCCTTGATTTCAGTGGAATACTGTAGATGACAGTTCAAAGGCTGTGCTTGACCTGAGTTTCATTGGATACAGCATGTTCTACTGAGGTGCATTAGAACTTCAATCAAAGCAAGTCAAACGCAGCCTTTTCTTCTTAAATTTAGCTTTTGCATTTAAAGAAGAGCTATCATTGTATTTTTTATTTTACAGTTCTGTCCCCTATGGGACAAAGTACATGCAGTACTTTCTCCCATGTTTCTGAGTGCTTTCTAACCCTAGTTGCAAAGGGTCCCTTTCCCCTCCTGTTGGGGCCGATCCGACAACAGCTTTGAAGGAGATGGCTGATTTTAGGTGCAGATTGTCTCAGCTGTGAGCACTTTCTATCTATAATCTATGAATGAAGGGGTCAGACCTTTTAATCATTGACTCGTCATCCATTCATAGATCACAATTCATTCATAGAAGCTGCAGTATGGATTCTATGAATGGAGGAGCTAGGCAGAAAGGGTGCATACAGTCAGGCTCTCTTGATGAGCACTTTTGACAGCCCATTCATTCTATTAATCCCTGCCACACCAAAAGATTACGGCGGCGGGGATACTGAGGGCATGGAAGGAGGAGGATTTCACCTAAAAGAAGAGGTATCAGCACAAAGGACACATCCTGTTGATGAAGTTATGTCCCTTGTGCTGATTTTTGTTTTGTTATTTTGGCTGAACTTAAAAGAGAAGTTTGGGATTTGTTTTTTTTTTTTTTTCAAATTATACTTACCTAAGTGAATGCAGCTTTGATCCGATTATGCATCTGTCCCCCACCGTCTCTAAGGTTAAGAACTGTGCAATAAAACACCACGGATTGCTGAGTTCTCCCTGCTGCTTTGAGCAGAAATCGGTGACTGTCAGTCAACGCTGTCTGCTCTGTCCCCCCAGTGCTCACTGGAGCCCTGGCTTGTGGAGGCGGCGGGGAGCGGCTGGTTCAGCCTCTCAGTGGAGCGCTGAGAGGCTGAGCCAAGTGCCGGTCCAAGCTCCTGGGTGGATTCCAACATTAAAGTATATGTTCACCTTTATGCAAAAAATAATAAATGCACATATTTATGCAGGTAAATGCAAAAATGTAAAATGCATTTATTATTTTTGGTTGCAGGAGTCTGTACAGCATGGCACCAGCGATTAGCAGATCGCTGGTGCCATGCAGGTCTCCTGCAGACCTGTCATTATCTGCTTGCCCATATGGGATGTACAAGCAAGCTGACAGCTGCTAAGGCTATCGGGACTTGTAGTCTCTCATTCACAGTGATTGAGTGACGCAGCTGGGTGGGCGGTGATAACCCATTAGTTGTCAAAGCGGGGGAGTGGGGGCCAGTGAATTCATAACATAGGTGTAACACTAACATGTTATCAAAGTTATGGGTGAACTTATCCTTCAAATTTGGGATCTTTCCCAGAACCTGGGCTTGCTCTGTGGCGTCAGACGACAGCGGACTTTAGACGCTGTCGGCTGAAATCAGGTCACAGGAGTGCAGAACTAACTGCACTCCTGTGATGCACAGGAGAAGTACAGACACACAAGCTTTGGCTGCACTTCTCCTTTAAAGGATAAGCTCCCCTTTGCGAACATGTTACATGGTCCACCCGTTTTTAGGGTGGAACATGTGACATGTTCCCATACAGGGGCGGACTGACCATTTGGAAACTTGGGCACTGCCCGAGGGCCCGGGGTCAGTAGGAGGCCCCATGAGATGCCCCTGGTACCTTTTTCATAGGCTTTTTTGAGTTTGGGCAAGGACACAGGGGCCCCATGATCCCCTATTGCCTGGGGGCCCCATGAGTTGTCAGTCCGCCCCTGTTCTCATAGCTGCAGCTGCCGCTCCCTCCCTCTGACAGATAGTACAGGAAGACTTCTTCCCGTATTATCTGTCAAATTTGAAAATAGCGCGGCAGTGCGGGGCTCCGCCCACACAGTAGCATCATTCATGCATGGACTTCCGTGAATGAATGATCTTCAAGTCCCAGCATCCTTAGCTACTGATCTACTGATTGCTGGTGCAATGCTTTCCAGGCTCCTGTAGACAAAAATAATAAATGCACAAACTCTTTTACTTGCAAAAATATGTGCATTTATTTTATTTTTTTTTTGTATAAAAGGTGAACGTATCCTTTAACCCTTTTGGCCGGCATCTGCCAGCCCTTTAAGGGGTTTCAGACGCTGGGAGGCGGGGTTTTAGGGTCATGTGACCGCCGTGATTTGTTGTCATGCTGGTCACATGATCAGAAAAGGTCCCAATCGCAAGGGTAGATCGGGACCTTTCCGTTAAACACCGACATATGTGCTGGGGAGTGCGCAGGGTGTGCTCTCTCAGCACATATGTATTTTCAAATGGTACACAGATATGGGGAAACTCGGCATCAAGGCCCAGTCCAGGCTTGCCGAGAGGCCTCATGCAAAATTTGCGTGTACTCGGCGTCAAAGTGTTAAGCTTTAAAATTCCATCCAGACCTGCTACTTGAATGGAATTCCAAACATATTTCACATATTTGTACCTAGAAAATGCACATTACAATGTATACCATTTTTCCAGAATGAAAATCACAGTCACGATAAGAATTTTGTTTGTTCAAAAAAAAAAAAAAAAAGCCATCCTGCTGCTTCGCATTTTTCATCACTACAGTTCAAAAGGATTGTAGATTTGACCCCCACTAACCAATAGAAAATTAAATAAATGTTCAGAAAACGAATATTTTCTATCGAAATTCTACTAGTGTATGGCCAGCTTTACGTTCACAATGAAGTACAAATACAATACAATGAAGGTCAATTATACAATGCCAACCTGCGCATCTAGTGTGTCTTGCTGAACTGCAGTTACTGACATGACGCCTACATAGATATCTTCCAGCATTGAGTAAAGCTGATCTGTACATATCTCAGAAAAGACAAGGTTTGCCCTACATTCCGGAGACAGAACATGAATGAGACTGTCTGCACAGCGATAAGATCACAATCATTCCAGCTGTAAGGAAATGCTTTGGGTTAGTTTTGTCTTGGTTCTCACATACAGGATCATCACCATCTTTTCATGGAATTACTGCAAGGATTCATGCAGGCCGGGCATGCTCAAGGTGTAGTGGTGATCATGGTGCAGTCTGGCTGCTTGACGCCAAGATATATTGATTGTGGAGTGTGTGCAGCTTCCAGGGTGTTCTTCACATATTTCTCCTTTGCTTTATCTCGATCTTTGTCTAAAAAAAAAAGACCAGATTTATTTGCACATTATATATCTGTTTTTTAATAATAGAGATCAGTAAAGGATGATTTTTCAAACCGCAGTAAACGATCAGAATTCAAGTTACTATTATTAGACCAGAGAAAAATATTGAATCGCTCTGGGTAACTATGCATTGCTGACTGCTGTAATAAACAGGCTAAAACATATTCATATTAAGGCTCGGTCAGGGGCGGATTGATAAGTCATGGGGCCCCCGGGCAATAGGGGATCATGGGGCCCCTGTGTCCTTGCCCAAACTCAAAAAAGCCTATGAAAAAGGTACCAGGGGCATCTCATGGGGCCTGTATAAAAGATAGTTATTAAGAGGTTGTAAAATGATTTATCATGTCACCCAATATTTGGTCTCCATTCAGTAGCCAAAAGAAGCATTCAAAAAAAGGGGGATTTGTGAAAAGGAATTCACAGAGAAAGCGGCTACATTATGAACAGAACGTGACACTCAGAAAAATTTTTTTCCAAAAATTATGCTTTATTACACATATATAAATATGACATATGGGCGTTCGCCCTGGTTTACCATCACCTCAGTATGAGACAATACACACAGACCTAAAACCATATAAAATGACATCAAGACCGGTCTAAATGCATGTGCAACAGAAAAAATGACTGCGGGAGTCTAATGTCCCTGTAGCACAAAACACATAGGTGAACACTTCCCAAAAGAGGTGTATCCAAAAATTATACCATAGGCATACCATAATGTTAAATATTATATGTAAACAATACCATTATGGTGAATCCCAATCAGGGAATCCAAAAATTGTACTATGGAAAAAATATCACATATATACAATGCAGCAAGCACAATAGGCGTCAAGAAGAGAACAACAAGCCTCAGGCCTGTATGGGGGGAGACATAAATGTCAAATATGTGATACAATTCATTCCTGTGCCGGCACAAGTGGTTGGGGCCCATTCATCTGTAATATAAACAGCTGTATCCTAGAGCTCTTGAATGAAATAATGCCCCATTTATTCCCAGGGTGGGAAGAAAAGATGCAAAAAGCAGCACTCTGCTAGAAATGGTATCTTCACCACTATATGTGGACTACACACCACCTTTCGTAGGGAAAACAGGACATATCCCAAAAGATCTTCTGCCCGTTGAGATATATATGGTATATCCTGTATCCTATACAAAGCACCATGATGTCCCCATCCTGTAGTGAGATAAATGATATGTGGGAAGTCACTGACAGAGTATACACTCAATAAGATATATAGGTCATATAGATCACAGAGGACCATATATCTAATGTCCTGTAACAGTCCACTCACCACCTGTGCTGTGGGTATTAGGAATGAAAAAAGATGTCCTTAATGGGTACTGCCATACACGGCCACAGAGGCCTAGGAACCACCGCTGACATCCGCCGATATACCGCGGGTTCCAGCCCCTTGTTGGCGCTTGTGCTGCTCACACTTGCCTCATGGCATATGAAGATGGCTTCCTCCTTATGGGTCAGCGTGCGTTCCACCTAATGCGCATGACCGAAAAAGTGACGTATCTACAGCTCAGGAGGTAATAAACCTCCACACATTCTACAGGGACCAGGGGCAGACTGATAAACTCAAGGAGCCCCCGGGCAATAGGGGATCATGGGGTCCCTGTGTCCTTGCCCAAACTCAAAAAAGCCTATGAAAAAGGTACCAGGGGCATCTCATGGGGCCCCCTACTGACCCCGGGCCCTCGGGCAGTGCTCGAGTTTCCAAATGGTCAGTCCGCCCCTGGGCTCGGTTCACACTCCAGCAATGCCATTTACAGTGCGACTTTGCATATTCTGTGGGGACAAGTTGCACTGTAAATTGCTCCAAAGTACTGCAGGAACCTTCTCCAAAATTGCACTGCGCTGAGTCGCATTTGATGTGAATGGACACGCTTGAAAATAATGTGATTTCTCTCGTCATGCGATTCTGTGCAAGTCACATCAGAAGTTCCACTAGTGTAAAATGTGTAAAAAAGGCTGGCCATACACTATACAATACAATATTCTGTCCAATTTCTGCCCAATTTCCTTTAGATTTACCTTAAACCCTGTAGTGCAAGAGCCAGGCCATAGACGGGTCATTTATCGGACGAATTTTCGTCTGCACGCAAAAAATCGGCCGATATTCACGCCATTAGTGGGGCAATGCCGTTGGCCGTTTTTCATGGATCTTCTTGTTTCTTTTTATCGGTCATGCTGGAAAATCCACGAAAAACAGGCCACATTGGTAGCAGCATTGGCAACAACCGATTTGTTGTTTATCGGCCGACAATTCGGCCGATAAACAGTCCATCTATGGCCAGCCTAACTGGATACAATTTATTTTTTTATTTATTTCAGGTACTTATATAACGCCGTCAATTTATGCAGTTCTTTACATATATATTGTACATTCACATCAGTCCCTAACAGGGGCGGATTGACCATTTGGAAACTCAGGCACTGCCCTAGGGCCCAGGGTCAGTAGGGGGCCCCATGAGATGCCCCTGGTACCTTTTTCATAGGCTTTGAGTTTGGGCAAGGACACAGGGGCCCCATGATCCCCTATTGCCCAGGGGCCCCATGAGTTGTCAGTCCGTCCCTGGTCCCTAACCCTCAATGGGCGTACAATCTATGGTTCCTAATTCACAGCCATACATAAACATACTAGGGCCAATTTAGACAGGATCCAATTAGCCTCCCAGCATGTCTTTGGAGTGTGGGAGGAAACTGGACTACCCGGAGGAAACCCACGCAGGCACAGGGAGAACATGCAAACTCCAGCAGGTGGTGCCGTGGTTTGGATTCGAACCAACGACCCTAGTACTGCCAGGCAGAAGTGCTACCCATTTAGCCACTGTGTTGCCCGTGGATACAATTGAAAGTGTTGTTAGTTTTGACCTCCTATTATATGGTTTTTGGTAAATCTAAACCAAAAATCTCAAGAAAATTGTATAATGTATGGCCAGCCTTAAAGTGGTAGTAAACCCACTTTGTTAATTTGATATTTTTTATAATAAAGCTTGCCTGTAGGTAATATGAATATCTCCTAACATGCACCGCTTAGGAGATATTCAGGTTTCTTTTTAGCTGGCACATGTGCTCTGAAGGACCGGCATACCTGTGCTGTGTTCCTTCAGAGTACTGTGCTGTGGCCTGTGACTCCAATGTGCACATGCGGGAGTGACGTCATCGTGGGCCAGCCAGTCAGATGGCCGGAACTCGCGAACCCGGAAGGAAGATCGGGTGAAGATGGAAGCCAATGGAGCGCTTCATTTTAAGGTAAGTTTTACATAATGTGCTAGTATGCGATGCATTCTAGTACATTATGCCATTGCCCTGCAGGGAATGGTTTTTTTTTTCATGCGGTTTACTGCCGCTTTAATGGAGTAAATCAAATCAAAGAAAAATGAAATCCAATAATCAAACAACACCAACAAAAAATATTCATAAAGATAAAAGAATTTGAAGAACCATGAATCTGTATGCCTGTGTGTGCATCTGTATGATTTTATTCTGTCCAGCGGTATCTCTAGGACTAGGCTACACAAGCATTTCTTTCTAGAGATTTAAAGCGGAACTTCACTCTCTCACTCAACATTAACTCATTTTAATCCTTTTGCTGCCAGCATTAGTAAATAGATAGGAAAGTATATTATATTTACTTGTGTTAAACTTTTTTTTACATTTCTTCAGTTCAAACATCCTGGTTTCTGGCCCAGGCAAAAATGACATCATACATCCCAGGAGTCTTCATGGGCATGTTTTTTTTCCTTTCATCTGGAGGAGAGGTTTTCTCAGCTCAGCACGCCCTCTTGCCTGAATGCCTGAGCTAAGGGCAGATGGATTCTAGCAAGTAAATACTACATGAATCATCTGACCTTACTTAAGATGGCTGCAGCTAAAAAGGCTAGGAGGGTGTTTTTTCTCACAAAGCATGGAGACATGGATGGAAGGGTGCGTTTGCTTGGAATATTAAAAATGAATTCAAGTGATTGTAAACCCATATTTTTTTTTTACAACAAAAATGTCACACTAACCTGCTCTGTGCAGCCCAAATCTTTTTCTTGTTGGTTCCCCCACCAGTGGTCCTTGCTCTTTCCCTCTGCTGAGTGCCCCCCGAAGCAAGTCACTTGCTATGGGGGCACTTGTGCGGGCTGGCTCCCGTGCCAGCTCTGTGTGTCCATAGATACGTAAGGGAGGGTTATAATCCTTATCAGGTTTTTCCATCTGTGTCCCATTGGGGAAATTTCCTTACACTTTCTGTCCCATAGCCAAAATAGAAAGCGAGGGAATCCCCAGTTGCCACCAGAACTAGTGTCCCCATTGGTAGATTCCTCCTTTATTTCTGTTCTGGTGACCACTCAAATTTTAGGATTTTCTTTCACTTTCATTCTCAGTGACAACAGTAAATCTTTCCCTGTTTATGCAAAAAAAAAAAACAAAAAAAAACCCCATTTACCTTTAGCTATACTTATATTTTGTGCTGCCCATAATTGGCCATATACTGTATTTCAGCGCATGGCAAACTAGGTTCCTATACAGACCTCTGATTTCTCATTAAAGAGAACTTGCCACAACAAAAAACTATAATATAGGGGACTTTTGGTCCCCTATGTGATAAAAATAAGGTTCAATGAAAAAAAAAAACTGCCAAAAATTAAAAGTTAAACCCAAGCACCCAACCAACCCACCCCCCCCCCACCTCCACCCCCACACACACATTTGTATCCTTCCCTCCCCCACACATTTAAAGCCTCCCCTCCCCCACACACTTACTTAAACCAGAACATAAACGTCCACATTGGGGCACCATTGTAGGAAAACATTGATTTTGCTACACATTACATATCACCACACATGCTGAAGTGGGAGCAATCATTTTAGGCCCACTGTTCATGGTTGACTCTAAAGTGGTGGATCGTAAGGGCCGTTTCACAGGCTCACAGGTGTGCACAATTTTAAGGCTTAACATTCTTGGTATTTATTTACTTGTTGCAGCCTCAAGGTTTATATTGTCCTAAAATATTGGGTAATATTTTCTTCTATTGTGCCCTAAAATTAACTTTATTGTAATTTTTCTGGACATTTGCACTTGATAGACCATTGTGTTAGTATCACGTGACATAAAAATTTGGATCCACCACCAATTTATTCTCCAAGGTCCTTGCTCTCTGAAATGTCTCATGTTTGGGGTTTTAACTAGTCTTGAGTCCTAAAATTATTTTTTTTAACATATGAAAAAAAAACAAAAACGTAAAAATGGCTCTGACAACAAAAGGGTTAATCATAGCCCAAGCATGAGAATGGTGGGCTATGATCTCAAAAAAGATGAAATGTGAAGATGAGGGGAGGGGGCTCTGACGTCACGACATTGCACTGGAGAGGCTCGGTGATCTGAATACAGACACAGGTAGACAGCACTGCAGGAACAGAGGCAGAGCACATTTATGCTGGACTACAATTGTATACTACTGTGCAACTGGCAGCAATAAACCCCCCTTTTTGCACAAGGATAAGACACTATGGTCTGTTTGTCTTCCTTTCTCAATTGAACAACACCCCTTGAGCTGATATAAGGAGGACTGGAAAAGGAAACAGCCCCAGGAGGGGAATTGGGAGATCCTCAGAGAGATGGTCAGTATACCCACTCATGAGCAGCCACAGGAGAACAAATATAAATCCACATCCACCTTCTGAGATAATTCAAGAGCATCATTCCATCCCATCTATCCTGGAAGGATAAAAAGTGTATTTGCCTGGATTTATTCAGGCAAATATAGAGGTGAGCACATAGGGAGACCATTAAGCACTCGGCGAGAGGGAACAAAGAATCCACCTGCACATTTATTTTGAAAGACTTTTTTTTTTTTTTTTTTTTTTTATTGAATATATCATAAGCACGTGCACATAATATATATGTGTTTGCACAATATAAATATAAGGATCACAGTAGAATAGAGGAGTATTTCTGATTTGTATATCACTGTACTTTAATAGGCACTATCACCTTAGGATTATCAGTTATTAATGTCACTTGCATGAAGATTAATATTCACAATGATGTTTTGAGTCACTAGTAATAATTGTTTGATACATGCAGTATCTTGAAAGCTATTCATTAGCACTTTGAAAGTATAAGATATACATATTGGTACATGGGAGCGCGGCACTATCTATTTTGAAAATATTATATATACACTAGCATATGAGTCAGTGCAAGTGCCAGCGAACCTCACGTGAGAAATAAGGACATCTAAAGTCACATATTGAACACCTCATTTCATAATAGCTCACAAGCATTCACCATTTACAACATCTTTTAGTTGTCCCTTCGCATCTGGAACTTTTCCCTACTGTAGTTACCCTGACCCTAGCCAGCGGAAATCTGTCCCTATCCATACACACGATCCAGGTGTGCTCAAATGATGCCAGGCACTCAATTTATGAGGTTTTCCATGAAAATGGCCACCACAGGTCTTCCTGGATTTCAGTGTCTGATTGGACAACTGTCCTCCCCAGAATGACTTCTGGAGTCTATAAGAGGAGACAATTCTCCTTATGGAACTCCTCTCCACCTGGTGAAGCGGCCAATGGCCATCTACAGCCTGAAGGACTATAGAGCCTGCACCTGCTTACACTGGGCCTCCGTGAGTCAGAGGTTACAACACTTCTACATCTCAGTCAAAGATCCAGTGGTTAATATGAAGTTCCCATGAATGGAGAGGGTACATTTAGGGAGCTGTGCCTAGTTCTTGGTCAAGCATGAAGCAAAATGTCTCTTGTACTGCACCAGATGTATAGCAGATGTGCAACAATGGTGGAGTGATGCTATATTACATATTCAAGTATAGAAAC